GAGTTCTGAGAGCCTGACCCTAAACCCTAAACCCTAAACCCTAAACCCTAGATCCCTAAGCCATAAACCCTAAACCTTAAACCCTTAAACCCTTAAACCCTTAAACCCTTAAACCCTTAAACCCTTAAACCATGGCCTCCCTCTCTTTTTAGTCATCTCCGTCAAACCACCCGGCCGAGGACGTCTCCGTGTGAGTTTCGAGGGTTCTGCAGAGCGAGCTCTTTCCCCTAAACCCTAAACCCTAAGCCCTAAACCCTAAACCCTAAACCCTAAACCCTAAACCCTAAACCCCCTAACCCTAAACCTCCTAACTCTAAACCCAAGTCCGCATTTCCTGCTGCAGGATGTCTACGACTCTCGCGGCTATGCCGTGCGTAAGGATTGGGTGAATGGCCCGAACAAAGTCTTTCGCCCCAGGGCTGCAATTTGGGGGCTGGAGAAGCCGATATTCCGGAGCAGCCCACATGCCAAGGCTACATTCTGCGCAGCTTTCTGGACAGCACACTCGCCCCTGCTGATTACGATGCCTTTTTTTTCATGGTGTCTTGGCCTCTCCATCCAGTGGTCTGGTCCAGAGTCCGCAAACTGTATTCACGATGCCTCTGGCCCCTAAGCCTAAACCCTCAACCTTAAACCCTAAACGCTTTAAGCCTTAAACCATGACCCCTGAAACCCTAGTCAGGCCCTAAACCTTAAGCCCTAAGCCTAAACCCCAAAATCCAGTTCAGGAGTTTGACTCGGTGCCACTGCGAAGTCTCTGGTTGGATCAGCTTTATGCAGAGGCCACTCGGGTAATCAGAGTTTAGGTATGCCAGCTCCTTTTTTGAAGAGTGGGGCTCTGCGGGTATATTTCTATCTTATGGCATATGGTGGTATCTTGACGGTAGATGATGGTCTGCTATGGCATACTTTGGTGTATTATGGCACATCATGGTATACATAGTAAAATGATGAGTGCGGCCATGCTTCGATGTTAGCAGGCATCAGGGATCAGGGAAAGCTAATCAGCTCTTGTGCCGATGTCCGAAGTCCCGGGCATCCATTATTCGAACAAAGTGAAATACAATATCGCATTTAATGTAATTACCATTTACATAATGCAATATCGTAGCACCAACATAATATAATGTAACATTGACATTTGACGATCTAGTTGGCATCAGCTGGCCACTGTCCGCAGATGTTGGGTTTCGGACGGCGTGTGTCAGCGAGTCAGGGAGCGTGATTTTGCTTCTGTGGTCATGGTCGCTGCTTCGTGATAAGGTCGTGATTTATCCCCGGGCTGCCATCCGTGGCAGCCGCTATCGCGGTGACTCGTGGGATCCTTTCTTAGATGAAATCTCGGCCGAGCAGCTTGGCGAAACTGTGAGGTCTGAATTCGTTTCCAGACGCTTCGGACTGCTCCTTAAGAGACCTAGGACTCCTAAGACCCGGGGTCGGTGTGAGCTTGATGAAGCCTCAACAATCGGGTTGACGACGACCTGAAATGCACTAAGAAATCACAGGACGCCCGGCCCCTCTCTAGCCGCGTTGAATCGACCGAAGACTTGGGTTCTGGAGATGGTGTTTGGACAGTCATGCTCAGTTTCT